CGCGACCCTGAAAAGGACAAGCGGAAGCGAATGGATGGATGGATGGAGGTTATTATTCAGAATAATGAACACTAATAGTAAGCAACACTGCAGACTATTGAGTTATATCAGAGCAAATTATAAATTGCTATGATAAGGCCAGTATAAACTCATTATCGGGCCAAACAGGCACACTACTAGATAAGATACAGAGACATTAAACTTTAATGGCCCTGATGGGTGTAACTAAGTAAAGGCAGCAGAGTGTATTTAAAAATACTTTTACATTTGACCTTTTGGGTTGTGGTAAATACACAAATTCTTTACCTTTTTAAAAAGTATATAAACCATGTATATTTCCATGATGTATTCTGGCCACTCAAAATGCATTTCAGTGAAATAATAATAATAATGGATTGGATTTATATAGCGCTTTTCAAGGCACCCAAAGCGCTTTACACTATTCATTCACTCTCACATTCACACACTGGTGGAGGCAGCTACAGTTGTAGCCACAGCTGCCCTGGGGCAGACTGACAGAAGCGAGGCTGCCTTATCGCGCCATCGGCCCCTCTGGCCAACACCAGTAGGCGGTAGGTATGTTTCTTGCCCAAGGACAACGACAGCTAAAAAATAGATACACTTTTTATATATATATATATATATATTAAAAAAACAAACAAACAAACAAACAAAAAAACAACTTTTGTAATGTTACAGATTCCGTCCTGGTTGCTAGACTTCGTTTTGACGTTTATTTAAATAACTTACTTACCGATTGAAAATATAATGACAGCAATATTATTTCATGTTCGAAATATTTTTTAGATTAAATATTAAATTCACAAAAATATCCTCTTTATGGAGTAAGCATGTTTTCCATGGCTACTTCAAAAAACAAACAAACAAACCAAGCTCGAAGTCATGAGCAGGAGTTCATAATAAGTGATGACAGCAGCGTACGCAGAATCTGCCGTTATAGTTAGAATGGCACAGCATAAGATAAACTTATGCAACTTTTTTTTTTTTTTTTGGTGGGGGATGTCACAGCAGATAGTACAAGAACAGTAGTGCAAAGTCTACGCTGTGTGTAGACCGTTACGTCTTTTCATTGGCCCGGAGTCTACGGTGAGCGTAGACACTGTAGACTCGGGCCGATAGGAGCGCCGAATCCCACTGTAGACGACCAATCGTCTGTTCGGCGGAAGTTGCGTCACCAAAACAACAACAACAACACGCAGCGGAGGAGCGAAGAAGCCGGTGTTCTAGATCTACTGGCGTTTAGATCAACTGGCGTTGGTCGAACAGATGTGTGGCAGTCTTGCG